TTTTTATTCGGCGCACTTGTCTGGCCCTGCAGGACACCAATTTAGTACTTTTATTATAGTGAAGCTCGACCAATTTGCCTGTCAAAATAAATTAAAAGTAAACAACGACAAATGAGCGATGATCAAAAGACTGTTTGTCAAAAAATGAAAAATATACAGTACGTCCCCGGATTGCCTTTGCAAAAGGAAAAACTTTTTTATTCACAGTTTGAGAAAAACGCATTCTTCTTTAAAAAAAATGCTTCATCTAAAAGGGTTAATCCTGTTTATACTTTTCTAAGTTTCCATACCGAAAATACTGAAAATTAGGTTGAAGTCCTAAAATCCAAAAGGCGTTTCTAAAATATAATTTAATTTAATTTCGATTTCATTCTTTGCTAGATATTTTTTTTTCACCGCCGTGTTACCCGCCGTGTTATACCGATGTATCGCCGGTTGTACCGATGGAATCGGTAGGAACGTGTCGCCGGAATATTTCCATTCAAGGCTCCATGTTCATTACTCTGCGGACTATGTTCACCGTACCCAAAATAGCTGCTTTAATACATTGACTTATGATATTTTCTGGTCGCTTCAGCTCCTTTAAGTTCTTCTCAAAATCAATGTGAACCAGACCATTGCTTGAAATGATGAGTGGTATTACTCGGGTTGCTTTTAGATGACAGGTTTCCCTCATATCGAAAGCCAAGTCTTGATACTTCGAAATTGTTTTCCCTTGCAGTTTTGACTACGTTGTGATCTAGTGGTTCAGCTACGTCGATTAAGTAAGCTTTCTTTTCGTTTTTATCTATCCAAACAGTGTCCGGCTTATTATGAACTACTGATCTGTCTGTCTGTATTTGCGTATTCCAGTATACTTTATGATGTTCGTTTTCCTCTAATTCTTGTAGCCTGTATTCATAATATTTCTTTTCAGGGTTCTTGATTTTTAGGTACTTTAGCATTTCCAGGTGAATAATCTTTGCTATGTTGTCGTGTCTTTCCGTGTAGTGGACTGACGCAAGACTCTCATATCCAGAGCTGATGTGTTGGATGGATTCGCTAATCTTATGATATACTCTACATTTGTCAGTTGGTATGTTTTGTTTTAAAATATGCCTCCTATAGGCTCTAGTGCTAACCACTTGATCTTGTATTGCACATATGAAGCCCTCGGATTCTCCCATGAGGTTAATGTTTGTAAGGAATTTTATAGATCCACTTTTATCAATTCCTTCTGCCTGGCTTTCGTTGGCATACCTTCCATGCAGAGCCTTTCCTCGAAGTTCCTTCAGCTGTTCCTGAACCGATGGAACTTCCGTTGGGATATGGGAAGCCAGGTTCAAGGAAGAGTAGCCTCGGTCAATCTCGCATATTGCTCGATGAAGGTAAGTATCCCTTTGCATAAAATAGGTTGCTAGTTTGTTATTTTGTCTGTTGCATGCTCTTTCAACATTGATAAGTCCTCTCCCTCCATGGATCCTGTGGAGATACAACCAGATTTCTGAAGACGACTGATGGTGCAATCTGAACTGTGATAGTGTTCTCCTAGTAGCTCTAGCTATTTCCTGCAGCTCTGTTTTGGACCATTTCAAGACTCCGTATATATGCGCCGGGATAGACAGGAATTGCCCATCTATTGACTGCTGCTAATTTGCTAGATGATTATTATTAAGTTTGATTAACGTCATATTTTTTTGCTGTGGTTAATGTATCACATTTTCCGATAACTAATATCATGGAGAGGGTTCATAGCGTTGAACTAAATAAATGTTGTGCTTCTTTAGCATATTAAAACAGCAAAACATATGATGATAATTAAAATTCTATTAATAACAATTTATCAAGGAATGAAAACGAAATTACATTACCATAGAAACGTGTTTTGATTTTAAGGACTTAAGCTTCATTCATGATCTCCCAATTAGTGGAATAAATTAGTAGTTTCAATTACACTCTATACTTTTTAGTTTACGATCATTCACAATGTCTAAAAAACACAATTAAAATTAATAAAATATCCTAGCAACAGCTTGCGGTAGTCTGTTGTATCCATAGAGAAAACATAATATTTAGTTTATAAAACATTAAACTTTTGATTTCTAACCAAAAATTTTCTTGACAGATGATAATCAAAGACCAAAATGACATTCCTCGCAAATTTTGAAGTACTTATAATTAATAGAAAAGTCAAAAGTTTGTTAATTTTTTCGACTTATTGAAAATTACTACCACTAATTATAACGTTCTGAATGCTTACATTAAAAATAGGTGAACAAACTTCTACGCTAATTGAAACCAATAATTCCACTAATTGCGAGGTTCTGAATGAAGCTCTAAGATTCGTTCAGAACCTCGCAATTAGTAAAATAAATTAGTGGTTTCAATTAGCGTAGAAGTTTCTTACTCTAAGCTCAATGTAAGTATTCAGAACGTCAAAATTAGTGGTAGTAACTTTTAAGCTTCATTCAGAACCTCCCAATTAGTGGTTTCCATTACACTTTATATTTTTTAGTTTACGATCATTCACAATGTCTAAAAACACAATTAAAATTAATAAAATATCCTAGCAACAGCTTGCGGTAGTCTGTTGCAGGTCTGTTGTATCCATAGAAAAAGCATAATATTTAGCTTATAAAACAATAAACTTTTGATTTCTAACCAAAATTTTTCTTGACGGGTGATAATCAAAGGCCAAAATGACATTCCTTGCAAATTTTGAAGTATAATTAGTGGAAAAGTCAAAAGTTTGTTAACTTTTTCCACTAATTTAAAATTACTACCACTTGGTTCTGAATGAAGCTTTAAGCTTCGTTCAGAACCTCGCAATTAGTGAAATAAATTAGTGGTTGCAATTAGCGTAGAAGTTTGCTACTGTAAACTAAATGTAAGCATTCAGAACGTCAAAATTAGTGGTAGTCATTTTCAATTAGTAGAAAAATTTGCGAGAAATATCATGTTGGCCTTTGATTATATCATCCGTCAAGAGAAATTGTGGTTAGAAATCAAAAGTTGATTGTTTTATAAGTTAAATATTAGGCTTTCTCTATGGATACAACAAACTACCGCAAAGATGTTGCTAGGATTTTTTATTTCACAACCAAACCAAACCAATATACAACTGACTCCCGCATGCTGCTGCTAAGGTATTCTATTAATTTTAATTGTGTTTTTTAGACATTGTGAATGATCGTAAACTAAAAAGTATAAACTGTAATTGAAACCACTAATTTATTCCACTAATTGGCGAGGTTCTGAATGAAACTTAAAAAAAAATTAAAACTATATTAGAAAAATTCAACTATATTTTCAAAGATATTTTTCCGATCACTGATTATCCATAAACATCTAACCATAAATGATCCCGCATACATACTGGGTGTTTTCCAAAAGCGGTTCACCTCAATAACTTTCTTTATTTTTTCAGATAAAAAACGAGATTTGTTACGTATATGTATAGGACATATATACCAAAACTGATTGGCGTTTTCAATTACATCCAGTCACTGTTTTACCGGACATAACTACAACTTTTGATTGTATATGATACCCTCGGTATTTTTTTACTTTATTTGATAGAAAATGACATTTTGAATAGAATGAAGAAGAGAGTCAACTTTTGACATTTTCAAAAAAATGACTTTTCGAAATACGTTGATGAGCCACCATCGTTACATTTGAAAATATTGGATTATGATTTAAAATACGATTGGGTTATATATTTATGGTTAATCAAATCTACTTTTTCACCAAAAAAAACCTTTATGGGTATTTCGCCACTGCACTGCAAGAAAATCTACAAAATAAAATAGTTATTTTTTGTAAACACTTCTGGCGTTAAACCTAAACGGACGCTGCTTGTCAGAAGTTATGTTTACAGTAATACAAATTTGCCTAACAAAGAAAAAAATACTTAACGTTTCGGAAAGTTATCTCTTTCCGTCGTCGGAAGCAAAAAAAATACAAGGAATAAAGAAAAAAACTATTTAAAATATTTAAATTCAACTATTCGAGAACACTTTACTTTTTTAAAACAGAACGTCTACAAGAAACCGTTGACGTTCTGTTAAAATGACATTATATCATCATTATATCCAAGTTATACTTCAAAATTAACAATTACTACCTGATAACAATTACTTAATAAGGTAAAACCAAAAAGCCCCAAACTTTCTGTATGATTATTTTTAAATTTTACGTATATTATGTTTATTTATGTTATGTTCTTTAAAATCAAAGAAGCGATTGCCATACATCACTAACATCTACAAATGCATAAGCAATACATTTATTTTATTAGATTGAATTAAAAAAGCCTCTTTTATTTTTCTTTTAGAGGCTATCGCTTCTTTCATTATAATTTTGGCGTTATTAAAATTTATTCTGTGCCCTGTGTCCCATGAATGCTGACAAATCTTAGATTTGTGAAAACCTCTCTTTCTTAAATATATAATCTTTATGTTCTTTAATTCTAACATTTAAGGGTCTAGATGTTTCACCAATGTAAAATTTATCGCATTCACAGGCTATTTGGTATATTACATTTTTTGTTTGTTGTTCGGTATTCATTGGTTTAGTATGTGATAAAATGGATCTAAATGATTAAAAATTAGTAGTTTTAACATATCCATGACACTGTAGATTGAAATTTAAAATACGGAATATTCTGAATATAATTTTCTATCAAATAAAGTAAAAAAATACCGAGGGTACCATTTAAAAATCAAAAATTGTAGTTATTTCCGGTAAACCAGGAAATGACCGAAAATAATTATTGAATACGTCAGTCAATCTCGGTCTATGTCATATATTAATATACCAAATCTCATTTTTTTATCTGAAAAAAATAAAAAAAAGTTTTAGCGAAACCAAAACACCCGGTATACGACTCTTTATGTAAGTACCTAATTTAGATCAATAAAAAACATTGTTCCTATTTAAAGAAATTAGAAAAAATATTTAATCAATAACCTTAAGTATCTTACAAAATATGTATTATGTATTATTTTGTTAGTAGGTACCTTGTTAGTTCTCCTAATCTGGTCAACGGATCAAAACCACCGCTGTGCCTCTTGTTCTTGGTTTCCTCACTCATCCTTTCACCAGATACAGAACTAAGTCACTTCCATTTCAAAACCGGCACAACCGATATTAACAATATCTACTCGATAACGGACGAACAACGGCAAAGTTGAGTAACGTACGGACATGAATAACACAATTTTTATAAAACTTAACAAACGAGTGTTCGAATATGATGCTGAAACACCTGAAAAAAAGAAGAAAAAAAGTACATTAAAACTAGTACATTATAGAATGCAACTAGAAAAAGTAAGACACTCACCGGTACGAAAAATGGGCACCTTAAAATTTTGATGTATTATAAAGCTTTATACCGGGTGCGTCTCAAAAGCGGCTCACCGCTATGACTTTTTTATGTTTTCAGATAAAACATTGACATTGTTTATGACATAAATTAGGATTGATTGACGTATTCAATTGTTTTCGGTCACTGCCTGTTTCACCGGAAATGACTACAACTTTTGATTTTCAAATGACACCTTCGGTATTTTGTTACTTTATTCGATAGAAAATGACACTCTGAATAGAATGATATATCAACTTTTAACATTTTCGAATATGGTTATTTGAAAATGGCAACATACGATTCATAACGACAATTTGACTCGAAATACCAAGTGGGTGGTATCAAATTATTCGTAAAAAAATGCTTTTTCCAAATACGCTAATGAGCCAATCTCGTTCCATTTGAAAAAATTCAGATATGATTAAAAATACAATTTGGGCATCTTTTAACCCGCCAGGACGAGAGATTAAAAACACTAGACGACCAAATCTATTTTTCCAAGGCTACTTGACTAAAAATTAGTGTTTTGAACACAACCATGGCACCCTAGATTGAAATTTAAAATACAACTTTGTTTTTGTGTCAATAGTTGACATATGATATGTCAATCTATTCATAGTGTCATTTTCTATCGAATAAAGTAAAAAAAAAGTACCGAAGGTGTATACCGAAAGTAAAAAAAAATACCGTATGTTGTAGTCATTTCCGGTGAAACAGGAAGTAGCCAAAAAGAATTGAATACATCAATCAATCCTAATTTATGTCATATACTAACATACCAAATCTCGTTTTTTTATCTAAAAAAATAAAAAAGTTATAGGGGTGAGCCACTTTTGAGACGCACCCGGTATTGCAAATACAACATAATAAAATAAACAGTGTCAGCGAGGGTTATGAAAAGCAGATCACTGTAATTTTACATGTATAATTAATATGGGGAATGTCAAAGAATTTTTTATATACCTACTCACCTATAAATCTTAAAAAGTGCTTTGGAAAATGGATGGATATATCTATCTTCTATCACAACTCACAACCATAAAAAAACAGTAGATAACAATAACAATTTCATGTTTTAAAATACAAAAACTAAACACATTTTTCACACTGACAATCCGGTATCAGTTTTACAAATGAATGAATATCTTTACAATCTCTTAGTGAATAGCACAAGCAACGCATATCCATATACATATCAAAAGGAATTGGTTAACGACCTTAGAACATCCTGACAACACTGCATCTTACTTTTCTTACTATTACAACTTCATTCAAAAGGTGTCGATCCATTGAGGCGTGTATGTAACGTTTCTTATTTATATGCACGCTATGTATGTATTTTATTATACAAAACATTCGATAAAATTTACAATGAAAATATTTAAAATTTTAAAAAGATGTTCGTGAAGAATTAACAAGTGTGTGTACTTAGTACTTAAAGACAATTTTAGAATATAAATATTTCACTCGTGTTTCTTGTAATTGTTTAGTTAAAATATGTAATGCCGATTTTTTTGTATAACAAGTGAAAGTTGTGGCGAAGTGATTATTGGAGGGTCTTCGTTCTGTATATAAGTCCATCTGAAACAAAAAGAAAAAATAAGTTAATATGAGGCAGTTTCAAAGAAATGACAAAGACAAGATATAAGATAATGTCTATACAATTGTGGCTGATTTGTTTCTCAAAAAAAGTCTGTTTTTTTCGTCGGTGAAAAATAAATCAAGAATGTAATAGAAAAATGGGTTACGTAAATCAAACGCTAAATTTGGAAACAGCCCTACTTATTAAATTAAATGAAATGAAATGAGTGCCGTACTCTCCCTGGAATTCACAATAAAAAGAGCACGGCAGAAAAAACCTTGATCACTATTCCAAAGAATCCAGAATCCAACTATGCTGTTCTGACGTGCTGATTCCGTCGCCAAAACTGGTGCAGGCTCGCCATTCGTGGGCCCAGAACCGACACTTAGCGTACCAAAAAATCTCGCAAGAGACAGGCTCTGTGAATGGGTTAGGGGTGTAACGCTTCGGGGGACTGGTATGACAGTCCCGGAATGGAACATGCCAAAACAATCCTAGCAGGGCCATCCAAACGTAGAACAGATGAACTCCTAAAGGCTGGTAGGAACGGAGCGCGTACGCTTACTGCAGTATACACGGGCCACTGCCGGCTGAGATCACACCTACAGAGGATGGGACTGGTGGAAGACGGCCGAATGCCGACTCTGTATGGAAGATGACGAAACAATGAAGCACGTTATGTGTACCTGCCCCGCTGGGGGCAGGACCAGGTTTGAGGTGTTTGGCAAACCCACGCTAGACTTATCAGACCTAGAAGACATATCACCCTCGGACATAACGGCCTATGTTAAAAGGCTGGGTTTTGAGGGCGAACTTTATTTCTATTAAAGAGCTGGTAGAAACTGAGCCACAATAGGCCCTCGCGGCCTCAGTGGAGGGTCCCACCTGGGACTCACTCTTAGTAAAATACAAAAAAATGCTGTTCTGAACGTTAATAAAAGGGAAATAATAATAATACAAAAACTGTCCCCATACGAAGGTTTGTAGTTTAATACATTCAAAACATGCCACATTTATTACATTCAAAACTAATGAGTTTTGTTAGTTTAGCAGGTCCCCACCCGCAGATGCTAAGGTCTCCGGTTTCGAAGCTAAAGTTGAACAAATATCTGTAGATTATGAGTTATTCTATTGTTTAGTTTTGATTTGTAGTGTAACAACCCAAATTCGTCAACAAAGTTGAAGAGGTAATATTTTGGCCAACTGTATAACAAGAAATTTAAATGAAAGAAAGGAATCTACGTTGTGTTAAATATTTTTTTATTGTGATTACCTCGGATGCGCCTCGACAGAAGCAATATTTTGGGAAATTTGAGGAGAATAGGTTATGTAAATAATACGCTAAATTAGTAAATTGTAAGTGTATTGCCCTACTTATTTTATTAAATGAAATGAATGGAGTGCCGTACTCTGTCTGGAATTCACGAGTAAGAGAGCACGGCAGAGAAAACCCCGATCACTATTCCAAAGAATATAACTATGATGTCCTGAACTTTAATAAAAGAGAAATAATAATAATATACAAACTGTCCTCATACCTAGGTTTATAGTTTATTACATTCAAAACATGCCACATTTATATCATTCAAAACTGAAGAGTTTTTTGTCAGTTTAACGGGTCCCCACTCCCAACCCGTAGGTACGAAGGCCCTTGTTGCGGACTCGACGCCAAACATGAAGGTTTGGTGCCAATATCTTTAGAAATTATATACTATATTAGAATCTTTATAAATTATTCTATGAATTATTCTATTTATTGTTTTTGTTTTCCCTTTTGCGAGATATTCGTCCATGCACGGTCGAAAATTGTTAGTACACTCAACAAGGCCCTTATTCTCACACTGAACCACAAACATGGGCACGAAGGAACAGTAAACGATTTTATTTAGATTACTTTTAAACCGAAATTATTTACAGCATAAATAGATTCCATTAAATGCATACACACGTTATATTTATACATATATTTTCAGATGAAATAAATACGGAAAAACTCTCTCTTTAATACTGAATATTACAACAGACAAATAAGCTATATGCTTTAGTTAATACTAATTAAATAATGAAAAAACATTTACTTTACCTTCAATAACATTCTTTGTCACAAAACTTAAGAACCAAAATAACATCAACGCGTCTCGAATGGTCTAAAAGCTATTATTTAACAACTAATCTCTCTCTCTGTTCGTCGCCTGATTTCCCTCTCCCTAGTTTGTGAATAATATTTTAAAAATCAATAATTTTATTTATGTATACAGAGTGTCTTAAAAATGAATGTCTTGAATTTAAAGAAATATGTCTATTTTTAAATAGGCGGTTCATCTCTACCAAACAATTTTATTTATATTCCTTTTAAAACTGAAATTATTCACAGCTTAATAGATTTCATTAAATGCATACACATGGTATATTATTGGTATTATAATATAATTCTCAGATGTAATAAATAAGGAAGAGCTTTAGTACCGAACATTATAACAGAAAAATAAAATAACATTAGCTAAATAATGAAGAATCTCATTTACTTTACCTTTAATAACATTCTTTGTCACAATAGCCAAAACGTACAAACCAAAATAACAACGATGCGTCTCGAACGGTAGCACAGATTATACAGATTATAATCTTTGTTTTTTCTTTATTGTTTTTCGTGGTTCCAATTTTCGGAATGGGGCACTAGTTAGGTTACTAGTTTGCGCACATAGCACGCCCACTTTTGGCCTCTAAAATTGTGCACAGCGCCTGACCGGCACAGTTATTAGAGAGATATCGGAAAACCGAATAGCGTCATACAGTATTTACGCGTACCTTATCATGGTTACGATATGCGCGAGTCAACGCAACACCCGCTAATAACGTTACCGCCACACGTTACCGCAATTACACCAAGCGCTCTTTCTAAATAACCTCTGATAACGTTTAAAAATTGCTTAAATGGGCATGTGCGGGTATTTGACAACCGGAGCCGGCCGCCCGGCGAGATCTTTTATTATAGGTTATGTTTGAATTGTTTTGAATTATTGCTTTAGTTTTATTAGGTAATTTGATATTTAAGAAGCTGGGATTAGTTTTAATTAAATAAATATGGCCCAAAATATGGATTCCACCTCTTCCAATACTAAAGAACCTATAAAGAGTCTTAGGTTTACAGCAGATGACGACTTAGCCCTTCTAAGAGAATTTGTTGCTTGTTGCCCTAAACCCATTGGCAGACGTTGAACAATAAAGCACTGGAAATAAGCACTTTAGCCCTTTAGTTTTAAAATACCTAGTAAACAAAACAATTTCAAAGTTTTAAATTCAAAGTTAGGTTAAGTTTAAATAGCGGACGCGATCAGAATTTTTTCCGATCCGATAACTATAAATGAAGAGGGTTAATACCACCTCACGTAAAGGAAATAACACCTGACCTTATTAACGTCCATGCACGCTATTCGGTTTAGCGATATCTCTCTATTACGCTGTTTATTGTTATTTTACGCGAGTTTATTTTTGCGCACAGGAAATTTGACTCGTTTGCACATCGTCATAAAAAACAATTTTCGTACCACGAATTAGGGACAAGATTTTTATCTGTATACTTATAGGATACCTAATCTGTGACGGTAGTCTAAAATCTATTATCTAACACCTATCATCTCGTTCTTTGTCTGATTTGCCTCTCCCTAGTTTGCGAATAAATATTTTAAAAATCAATAATGATTTATGTAATATGTATACAGAGTGTCTTAAAACTGAAGTTTTTTTTTAATTAATATAATAATAAAATAAATGTCTTATCCCACAAACGTTGTTTCGAGATAATAAGCAAAAACTGTTTTAGCAAATATTTGAAGCGTCAATTTACAAAAAAACGTGTCTATTGAGTGGTATCATTTAAACAGAAAAAGCACAAAAATAATTCGGATAAGGCGGGTTTTGTTGCAGTATGATGCAAATTGGCTACATACATACATACATACTGCCATTACTCGCTGACGAGTATTTGACACGCATCAGAAGATGGCCACGCAAGGCGTTTTCTTTCATGAGCTTTTCTATGACTGAAAAGCCGATACGTGATATTATCTGTCTACCGCACTCCAGACATTCAAAAATCTCAGTGCTTTGTTGCCTCTTTACTAGTAAAGAGGCAAATTGGCTATGAGATGAAGAACGACGCTGTCATTTTATGTGTAAATTTTTATGGGAAATGTTATCAATTGTCATTTGTTGCCAACTGGATGCCTTTTTTTTCGATCATATGGTATTTGCATCGTAACTTGATTTATTAAATATACTATTTTATTAAAATTAAGTAAGGATTTGAAAAAATGTCAGTAGTAATATTATACTTGTGTAAAAATCTTATGAAGAAATGCGGGATTTGTAAAAATAATGACAATAAAAAGCAAATATAAGTGGATAAGACGAATTTTGCTGCAGTAATGCAACTTGCAGTGAATTTTATATAGGAATAGGCAAACTTTACTGCAGTTTGGAATTATGTTTATGTAGATTTCAGGGTCCACTATTAATATATGCCATTAGGCCATTTAAAAAAAATTAAGCAGGTTTTGCAACTTGACGCCTCAAATAAAATAATTATTATAAATAGATTTGTCTAGAAACGTTCAATCCTTTTTATTCGTTCTATAATCAGTGTTATCATACAATACTACAAGTAATACAGTACTACTAATAAACCTCATTAAAAAAAACGTAAATTTAGAGAAGCCGGTTTTATTTCAAAGAATCATTTCAAAATTAAAACCGTATCAGTCCAAGATTTTTCATAATTCACCACAGTGACCACACTCTTTCAAACAAACGCAGACAATATTTATATTATACGAGATACATCGTTTCGAATATAATATGTGCATAGTGATAGTAGCTAATTCCCAATATCGAATATCCAATATAGCTAATAACCAAAAATTGTTCGATAACCCATCCTTCAGGGACCCCGACCGGAAATGACCTTTAAATTGGTTTCGGCCGTTGGCTATCCGTATAA